GCTCCTGTTGACTGCTTTCACGAGATACCGATGCTCTCGTGTCTTCGCCTCTTCAAGGTTCTGTAAGAATTCCATATTCGCCGTGTTTTTTGTTTCGCGGAGAGCGAAGGTTTCTGCCGAGACTCACGGGCGCCGTAGTAAGCAAAGCACAACGCCTACTCCGCGACTTCAGTGCAGAAATTGCTTTTACAACTAGTCATTGAGTGATATTTATAATTTGTCGGCCACATGCTATCATTCTCAATTTTTAATATAATTTATTTGCCGTTTTAATTTAAACCGTTCGATGAATGGCAATGTGTCATAATCAGCATTTACATGCATCATTTACAGTTTCATAGCTGTCTGAAACGTTATTTAATACTTTATGAAATTTGTTTCGTCACGTCAAAGCAGAAAGCAACTCATTACGCAGTTTGTCCCTCGATTTGTTGTGATAGTCATCTGCCTGACAGTCGAAGATTCATCTGGAAGATGCTCGAGAAAGGCAATATGGTGTGTACCGCAGGTAATTGGCATGAGACTTCTGCCGACAGAGAAGTTCTAGCATAATGCTACATTATTCACGAATGCTTGTAGAATAAAAGTACAAATAAGTACCGGAATCAGTCTGGCGAGCGAAGAGACCCGAGCGTTAAACGGACTTCAAGAATCCCCAAATATCTTGATCTGCTTTTATTTGCGATGGAGAATGCTGGATTGTGAGTACAAAATCGTGCCTTCCAGTACTAGTGACAGAAACGAGATTCCTTCAAGGAACTGCTAGAGCGTTGAGATGCCACAAGTCTCGTACAACGGTGATTTGAGATTTCTTCGTTGGAGATCCACACCCCTGTAAGGCAAACTTACAGTTGCTATGATGCAGACATGTAATCAGGATGGAGGAGGAGAGACTCCCATGGTTGCTTCTCTTCGTAAAGCAACGTTCTAGACAAGAGGGGCAGATTGATGACGAAACCGCTTGACGACATTGAGTATATGAGACTATTGTGTTTAATGAAGATTAGTTGATTGGTAGAGGATGAGGATCGTTTGAAAAATAATATGGTCCAATGTGGTTTGAAAATGTGGCAAACATTGAACATGTACGAATGAGTGAACGAATGAATGTCTGTCAAATTTTTCTTTCATTGTTCGCACTATTTTTTATTGAATGAAGAAGACTGCTGACTGTTTTCTGAATTACATGGCTCAGTCGGAATCACTTTCTCTACTCATCGTCCAGAGGTGTTCTGCTATTTGCATGAGTGTCATACGATCAAGAAGAATTTCTCATTTCTTCCGGCAGATTCGTGTATTCGTAACTGTTGATGAAGAGAGAACGAACGGATCGGCACCATGACAGTCGGAAAGTTAATTGAAGGCCTTGAATTGATTGAGGCCGGTTTGAAGGTTCTAGAACACAGAGCACCGAGCACAACTGCCAGACAGGGCATAAAAAGGCGATCACCTATTACAAAGAAAGTTTATTGGAGAAAAAAATCTTTATCACGCCAGACTTCACTGCTGGACTTCCAACGATCATCATCGTCTAACTGAAAACTGTTGTATGATCATTTTATTTGACTTAATATGTATTTTTGCATTAAAAACGTTTCGCTCACCATTGCTGCATTTTTATTTAACGAACTGACTGTCAAGAACCAATTATGTTACTTTAGAATGGAACTGTATGAACTTCGATGAATGTGGAACCATCTACGACGTAAGTTCAGCGCATTACTATATTAATTCTTTATTCTTAGGGTACTTAGTTCATTTATTAGCCATAAGTAGCTGAATAGGATTTAACTAAGCTCATTTGCCTCTAGTCTCCTAGATGCAAAAGTCCGTTAATCAAGTGTTTCAATTAACAGTGCAACCATTTGAATGGGTTCACACCGACACCTTGGCAGTCAGTTAGCTTACAGTTCGAATGACTGCCTAATGCCGTCCTAGGATCTCCCTTATTTACAATTGGGCTCAGCCTTGCTCGTCCTGAGAACTTGTTGTAATCCTCCATTTACTTCGAAGCAGTGAAGATATGGCTTAAAAGAGGCAGCCAGAGGTCATTCTGGAATTACTCATGGTCGGCAGTACGTAGGCAACACCTGGTTACGGCTCTTCCAGTTTCAGTTACTATTCCCCCGTTATGAACTTTGGGCGCAAACGAGATGCATTCATATAATTTAGGTCGTAGACTCATATCAGGTAAAATGATATTCGAAGACAAAAATTTAATTAAGAAATAATATAAACGAACGAATAATGTGTTCACGCCTTTGTTGGGGAAGCTCACATGTTTTTCGAGAACACAGTAGTCCGATTTTGTGTTACGATGCAACTTCATCTATCAGTTTGCTCTTAACTGCGACATAGTTAACCGATTGAGTATCTTGACCGTATGTACGTATGTTTGTTTGTTACGTATGTATGTATGTATGTATGTATGTATGTATGTATGTATGTATGTATGTATGTATGTATGTATGTATGCATGCATGTATGTGTGTGTTTATGTTTGGAAAATTGCTTATTCGACAAGAACTGGTTTATTTCGGAATGTTTTCGAAAAATGGGCTACTCAAGATAGCCTGCGTTCTAAACACTATTTTTAAACGTTGGTAGAAAGGAGTTAAATTAAAAAATCGTGCAATATAAAGCAAATATGTTCACAGTGCCAGCAGAACGATCGTTCCCAGCAGTTATTCAAAATATAATTGACTTGTTACTGATTATCTTATTGCTTAAAAATGTAGCATGATAGCCGTTTTGTCACATATTATCCTGCATTCATTATAATGACGATACGATTTTAAAACCAGAGCTTACCGGCAGTGACGATCTTACCAACGCAATTAAGCTATTCCGTTTTTGTCGCACAGTTTCTCGTTCATATCTCTCTCTCACCATTCGCCGCTCGCAACATGCATGGTGTAATGAAAACATTTCTTCATCTTTTCTTGCAGAGTAAATGTGGACTCTGAGTTGTAGTCCTTCCATCCCAGTTTGTAAACAATTTTTTCTTGTACTCCGAGGTCTACTGAGTGGCAACCGTCAATAAACAGTGGCGACGCTGCGGCATTGTGTTTATTGTCAGTTTTCTATTGAATATCTGAATTAATTTTTTAGCAAGTGAGCACTGAGGAAGTGAGCGATGATGAACAACAGTAGTGTAAAGTTCTGTCTGTCCTTCTAGTCTGTCTATGTCATCAGCTTCGCTTCGCGTATAGCCGGAAAAATAGAATTCAGAATGAACGGTAGATTTGGGATTTCTTCTGATAGAGTTAGACTGATAGAAACAAAACGTGTCCCAGCTGTTCCAACATGTCGGCATTCTACTGTTCCCGACAGATAACGAAGTGATTAGGAAAAAATATGCTCTGCCAATTATAAGCTGATTTCTCACGGCGCACGACCAAGACGGAATCATTTGGGACTAACTTCTGGTTGACCGACTGAAAACAATGAGGGAGGAATCATCGGTGCCTAAATCGTGATTGGTCAGCTGGCCCATGACCAGGAAGAATCCATCAATTCTTGAGGACTCATTGAACGCTTTGCATAGTAGACTATCCTTGCATACTAAATATATTTACCACCAAGTGTTTCTTTAATTGTGTACTTATACTGCCGAAATAAATCCTTTCATGATGGAACTACAGTCGAATGACACAGTTCGATGGACAGCTGTGCAACGAGGCCGATAAATTTCAAAACACAACACTCAGAACAACTATTCTTATAATTAATTCATCCCATTTATTCACAGAAAATAAATGCAACGGTTAAATCATATGATCAGATGCCGAAGGAAAATTCACGAGCTAGATTTCCCTTGGAAATCCAGCCGGCAGACACCCAAGAGGCTTTGCAAAACAAGGACAAGTTTGGTGTAGAAAATTCCGCATTATCTGACGATGGAATTGTAATATGGCCAATTTCAAGTCGACTCTACTCATGTTGATAGTAATGTACATTGTCTTATTTGTCTACTTCAATTGAACTGATAATAATTTCTTATTTCTGCTTCATCAATGCTGAAGGACAAGGTTGTTTGATAATCTTGTTGAAACAGCAAACCCTACACCTCTGCTGCTTTATATCTTTAGTCTATATAATCGGTCATATTGAACACCTGGTATGACCATGACTTGAAATCCAGTTCGGTCTCTTTCGGTTGTTTGAATGAACGGAGCAAAGGGTCAATCACAGAAACCGGCTTAAATGCTGGCCTTGCAACCCAAATGAAATTGCCAAATTTAGAAAATAAATGTACATCGATTATTGCTTAGAAAAATTAACTCCTTATTTATATTTTATTGCCGCTCGTAAATGTGGCACGTCAGCCTCATGTAAAGAAATTAATTTTGAAGCAACTGGTCGAAAGAATATGAGTACAAAACGAACTTTGCTAAGACGAGGGAACGGCGTGTCTGACGACGTTAGTTGGCGCACTGTTTCAGCGCCATGAGTTCGGAGAAGAGGTATTTGATCGAGGCCGTAAACTCGTTCCGAAAAGATGTGTTGAACATAAGGTAGAAGTAAAAGTTCAGTGAGCGACTCATCGCTTCGCACACGTACGTGGACATGATCGAGAACTGAACAAAGTAGTGCATGCGCATGGAGCTTCGAAACGCGTCGACATGGTCGCAGACGTCCAAGCTTCGGACCGTGCCATGGAAAATCCACAGCAGTCGCCAGAACACATACGAAATCTGGCAGATGGCAAAGCTGACGGCCGTGATGAAGATCAGCGACGTAATGCTTCGGATTTCTGTCACCATCCTGCGTTTTTCGTTGGTCGCGTTTGCCAGGTCGTGTGGACGGCCACCGACGACGTTGACATTCGCCTGCACCACCATTGGATGCACCCTGTTGATGCGGGTGTTGCCCAACGCTACGGAATGCGACGTGCTCTGGAGGCCGCCGAGTTTCGAGCGCGACAGGCGACGGACCATGGCCATGTTGGACGTGGTCAGCCAGGCCATCGCACCGAACAGTATCA